GGAGCGCATTAGTACCCTCCTGCGGAAGGTTCTGATTCGAGTATTTGCGGGTCGCAGGCCTGAGGGTATGCAAGCAGGGGGTGGTGCATTATGGTGGAACGAGGAATGCCAAAGCGTCCGGCAACACATGCTTGCCTGCAGGGTGCGGCTTGGCCCTGGCAGGGTCGAGAATAAGTCAGGTCCCTTGTGGGAAGCGTTCTGCAAGGCACGTAACGCAATGAACCGTGCCAAACGTCGTGCCCGAGCAGCATATGATGCAGAGAGAATGCGTGAGTTCGTGGTTAGGTGCAGGCACGATCAGCGCGCACTATGGCGGGCCTTGGGAGGGCAACTCAAGGAGCGTTGCGTGATTGACGACTTGCATGTATTTCGGGATCATTTTGCCACCTTGTTAAATGCAGGGGTTGGGGAGACGGGTGTTGAAGGTGCACATCGACTCCTTAACTATATCTCCTTTTTTGGGGCCCCTTTGGGAGAGGGTGCTTGGCAAGCTTATCGGACTGTCATGGACAGGAGAGCACGGGCAGCTAGCATCCTGGACGAGCCTTTCACCTTGGAGGAGGTAGCACGTGCTGTCGGTAGGTTACCAAACGGAAAGGCTCACGGGCTTGAGGCCATAGCATCGGAATGCTACCGTTATGCACGCCTCCCACGGGTGGATGAGCAGGGCAGGCAGGGAACGGAGGTGAACTGTATCGTCCCAGTGCTGCACGTTTTGTTAGAGCACATCAGGGCAACTGGTGATTTTCCACAGCAGTTTACCAAAACGGTGGTATCCCCTATCTTGAAGAAGGGTGACCCGTTGGTGGCAGGAAATTATCGGGGCATTGCAGTTGGAGGAGCACTTGCGAAATGCTATGCGTCAGTGATCCTTAACCGCCTGGTACGTGCTGGGGAAATACTGGACCTGCGGCACCCATGCCAAGCGGGTTTCAGGCGGGGTTTTGGCACTGCTCACCACCTCTTTGTCAAGCAACACCTGGTCAGGCGGCATCGGATCGCAGGACAACCGCCGTTGATAATAGTACAGATTGACTTTGAGAAGGCCTTCGATAGGGTGCCTCGCGAGCACATGTGGCTTCGGTTGCAGGAGAGGGGGATTAGCGGCCCCATGCTAGGTGCTCTGAGAAAAGCGTACGAGAAGGTGTCCATGGTGATGAAGGTAAATGAGAAAGTGGGGGGAGAGTTTGAGTCTAAGCAAGGAGTGAAGCAAGGGTGTCCTTTATCTACGGAGTTGTTTGGACTCTTCATCGAGACACTAGCCGATCTGATTGATACTCATGACCTTGTAGAAGCTGGTGCACGTAAGTGTGACGCACCCCTTGTGGACAGCAAGCGCGTCCCCATATTGTTGTATGCAGACGATGTTAGTCTGCTAGCGACGTCAGTAGAGCGAATGCCTGAGTTGCTACATCTTGTGGACTTGTTTTGTGAAGCTTTTGGGATGCGACCAAATGTCTCAAAGTGTGAAAGGCTTGTTTTTGCATGTGACGGCACCCAGCAGTCGGAACTTAGCGGGAGATGTCAACAGTTACGGCTATCAGGCCAGGTAGTACCTGCCAAAGATAGCGCTCGCTATCTGGGCTTGGTATATGGGCCAGAACGGCCTTTTAGTGCGTGCCGTCAGCAGTTGTGTGATACAGGTCGGTCCGCTATGTTTTCCTTAAGCGCAAAGCTGGACAAAATGAAGCTGTTTGCCCCCGATGTGCGAATGCGGTGTTTTGCAACCCAAGTCCGAGCAATTCTGTTGTATGGCTGCCAGGCGTGGGGCCCTTTTGCGCTGGCAGAGGTCGTGGACAGGGCGGGAAGGCGGCGGGATAAAGCCAACCTTGCGGAGGGCATGTTCGAAGCCTGTTTGAAGGATAGTGCAGTCCAGCTGCAGATTTTATTCATGAGGCAGGTAGTGGGGACGGCACGGCCATCCCACAGGCTGTTGTACGCGGAGCTGGCTGAACTCCCCTTACAATATTACATGGTGAAGCAGATTCTCCGTTTCTGGAACCGTCTTCAAAAGCAATGGGATCCATTGCTCACGCAGTTTTACGGCAGGAGATAACCGATGCCCTGACCAACCCGAAATGGGAGGGTTGGGGAATCTCAATGTTACGACTGTTTTCCTCTTGGGAGTGCAACATTTGGAGCGGAATACGCAAAGAAGTCGTGGGGTAAAGGAGCGTGTTGACTGGTTGTTGAGTAGACCTCTACCAGAAGGAGCGATAATAACGGCACTAAGAGAGCGTNTGATGAGCGGCTGGGACCATACGCGTCTGACTGTCTTGCCAGAGGAGTACCCATCAGATGGGAAGCAACCGGGAGTGCAAATGGCGAAGTATAAGCACTGGATGGGGCTGCCCTTTTCGGGAGCCGCAGCCGTCATGTGGCCAACACATGCTAAGGTTTTCATTCCTCGTTTAGCACATCGTAAGCTAATGCAGTTTCGTTTATGTTGCTGGGCTTTGGAGGCGAACAGAGCACGAAGGGGCAAGTACCATGTCCCCAGGGGGCAGCGGTTTTGCCACTGTTGTGGTCCTAATAGCCGAATTGAGGATGAAAAACACGTGTTATTGGAATGCCCAGCCTATAATGATATTCGTGCTGAAGAGGGATTCGATCATCAACAGAGTATGTTGGAGGCCATGCAATGGGAACCCGCACGCCTGGCGAGGATGTTGGAACGTATGTGGGCTCACCGAAACTCAATTACCCCCTTTGGACGCTAGTCTGGGCTGATGTGCGGTGTTTTTCCTTTTCTCCGTGGCTTTTAGGCGTTGTAGTATTGCCCTTGGGCCTTCGGCTCGTATGGGTAGTCTTACAGGTATGGGGTCACGCACCCCCAACCATGTAACACACACACACATTACTGGATGAAGCCTGTGCCCCCAAAGTCCCCAAAATAAAAGAACTAAAATTAAGAAGCTAAACAGGTGGTAGCTAATCGTCCATCGGTGGCCGCTCCCTTTGAACATAACAATTTACCTGACACTATTCGCAAGAAGGGTTGATATGACCCAACCGAACCCCATCCTTTCCATGTAACTCCCAGAGCTGCGCAATCGTAGTAGCTGGTACATAGTACGGCACACGTATCAAGTGCAAATACACGCTAAGCGCTTGATCAGGATCTCGAAAGGCCTTTTTTCAGCGGCCAGCTACTACAAAAACCCAGAAGGCGGGCCCAAAAGTTAACAACAGACTTCTAGGAGGCCATCCGCCAGCCGGGGGTTTTGGCCTGCTGCCGCGCCGACAGCACATCCACGCACGCCACGCAGTCTGGGCCGTGCGATTCATTGCACAAGCATCGCCCGCGGCAGGTTGTGAAGGTAAGGGTGCGGGAGGGGAAGTCACTGGGGGAGCAGGCGGGGACGAGGAGGTGGCAGCGGCAACCAACTGTGAGGCCCGGGGCCTACACCCCTGGGTACGCTCGCGGTCCGCCAGCCTGGAGCTCACCCACCCTGCACTCCAGCCTTGGGCTCTGACAACCGCCCGGGCCACGGGACCATGGCTCGGCAGCAGCGACCTTCCCGCAGACATCAGCCGGATCGAGGGGGCACTGGGTCACTTGCCGCCTTCGGAGGACATTGGCAGAACCCCACTGGAACCCGGTGATTGGTGCTGGGCGGCGGCGCTTTGGAGCAACCCACTGCTGCCCAATACGACCAATGCTGCAAACACCGAGGCCCCCAGCCGTCGACCAGGCCTGGATGCATACCACGCGCCACTGACACCATGCAGGAAACTGTGGACGGTGGGGGACCTGGTACGAGTGTGGGAAGCGGCAAACAATAGCCAAGCCACCACCCTCCAGGGAGCAGTTTGGCATTCGTGGGCCCGTGAGCACCTCGACCCAGCCACAGACCCCGCCCAGCTGCAGGACAAGGATGCCGCCCTTGCAGCTCTTGGGGCCCTGCACAGCGACATCAGCCCGGCCTGGCTGGCGGCAGCACACGCGGTGGAGATCAGGCTGCGGCATGACACACGGCTCACTGGGGTTCCTAGGAATTTGTTATCTGGCCATCGGGCGGTTTTGAGTTTTGGTTTCGAATTAGCCGAGATTTCGAGATCATGTTCAAGCGTAATGGGTGTGATGGGCGATGCGTTTTTTGAGGGCGATAGTCCAGCCAGTTTTAACACGACCGCCTTTGGTCTTTGTCATGCACTCTTTCTTGCATGCCCTTTACCCGACGTACAATCCCGTGTGTCGATTTACGTCCCAGGCGGGGGTGCATTGGCTTAGGAAAGCCGTTCTACCTCGTTGGTATGCCTTCCCCCTAGCCGATAGGGTGGCTTTTAGCTTGTCCGGTCCTTTTTTCGGTTTCTTTTATTTTGGGGACTTTTGGGACACATGCCTCATCCAGTAATAGCGTGCAAGTTCCTTTCAGTTTTTGTTGGTGTGCCTTCTTGTGAAGGTTTTGGGCCTTTCGCCCATTGGGGAGCCCGTTGGCAACTCCCCCAGTGGTTGTGGGTTTCTGAACCTTCCCTTTGGGTTCGCTTACTGCTGTCTAGGTGACACAAGCGTTGCCTGGCCTGGGTTAAAGCCCTAAGACCCTAAGCCTGGAGCCCACTGTAACAACCACACATACAACCTACGACTCCAATTGAGTACGGCAGTATCTGCCTGTGTGCTTGTATCCTAGTCCCACAGACATTATGCACACTGCAGAAGTGGTTTGTCGATTAGCCCTTGTCGCGGTATAATTAAAATTCTGCGACTTGACATCAGACGTTGGATCCCTCGCTCGAAGCGCGGCAGTTTGGCTTAGTCGACTGTTGCCCAATTCTCCATCCGAAGCTCTCGCTTCGTAACAGTTTTTTAAGCAAAAGTTAATAGATGCACAGCTATTAGTATTTTGGTTAAGCAAAAGGTATGAGAGCTGTCGCATTATGTCCGCTTGACGAGGCGAAGCTACTGCGAAGCAAGGGTCAATGCTGAAGGCGGCGGCAGGGAGGGTCCGTGTAACAACTCATCCTGGGCTTCATCTTGGGTCAGTTACCACCGCCCTGCGTGACCACCAATATTACATTAAGTCTACCATGGCTGGGATATACATTGCCTGTCAGTGGGCGGTAGTTCGTCTGGCTCCTGTCAAATGGTACGGTTGGTTTGCCGTACCAGCGGGCAACTGCACATCGTAATCTAACAACTAGCAGTTGCTTTCACTATTGCCGACCGAAGCTTCCGCATAGCCCTGTGCACACTCGAGGCTTGCTCAGCAGGAACAATAGAGTGAGGCAGCAACAGACAAAGAGAGCTCAAGCCCACATCCACAAAGAGAGCTCAGGCAAGGCAATCACCCAAAACCATTACCGATAACAACGAGGCCTGATAACTTAAACCCTACCGACGGTCCCAGACGCCCCAATTAAACCTACAGCGAAAACACCCTTGCCAGCATATGAAGCGCATGGTCATCAATGAACGGGACCACTCTCGGCCACACGACGACACATTCCAGAAACAAAAATAAAGCAAATATAGCAAATAAAGCAACCCGCACCGCAGCCCTTGCTGATGTCCAGAAGCCTAGCTTGATAAGTCATATCTATCCTGAAACCCAAACGGTACGAGAGATGCAATCTTAAATAAGCAGCCTTCTCACGCGATTTCAAGCAAACCTCTGTACCAGGCTCCCACGTCCAGCAGCACTAATAGTAGTGACAGAGATTTGTCTTAAAACAACCCGCCGGGGTGTAATAAATGCATCGTCTATGCATTATTATTATTACCACATATACATCTCCATGTTCACATCTAACCACTAGTTTGGTTAGTTAAACGAGAGAACAAGGACGCGTTGTACGGCGACACTTGGATAACCGTGTTTGCAAACCCGCTCCCACCGTTCACCAGCACATATGACTTGGTGTTGTTGTTGAAGCCCGTGACAGTCACGGAGTAATTCATGTACGTGCTCACGGCCTTGTTGAGCTGACCCAAAAGCGTGTCAGGGTCGATGTAGCCGATATTTTTTACGGTGAACATACTTTTGAGGGTAGCAAAGCTTCCGTTGATAGTTCGATTCAACGATGCGTCGTATAAGCCGTACGTAACGTTGAGCGCATTGTTTGTCCTGCGAATAGCAATAATAATAATCGTGTCCTAGTTTGTAAAAAAAACATCGATATATAGGCTATTAGTATGACACCAGATTCGTAACTAAAACCTCGCACCAATCCCAACCAAAACGTACTTATTAAGGCTTTTGTATAGATCTTGAGAAATTGACCGAATTTGATTTTCGTACTTGGCAATATCCTGCGAAACGTCATATACAACAATTGATGAAACACACATTAATTTTTCTCACGGAAAAGCGTCACAATATAGCAAGCATCTGCAAGAAGGGGTATATTATTCCGTAGTCCTTCCTTGTGCTGACCAGCACTCTCCCACATCAAAAAGGAGGGAAAAGGAAATCCCGTCCTACAATTTACATTTCTTAACGGCATCGCTCACCTTTGCCATCGTGAGTGACGGTGCGAACACGCCGAACGAAAAAAGAGCTGCTGACAGGAAGCCAGCCACAATGAGGGTGAAAATCCAGGCCAAAATCTGCTTTCCGAAAAGTTTCAAGTTGATGCCACTACGTATACTGTCAGTTAAGCCGACACCAATCTCTGCACCCGTAATGCACTGCGTCGTCGAAACTGGCAAACCATAAACGGAGGCCAGTGCGACGGTGAAGGATGTCGCAATCTCCGCCGAGTAGCCACGCGACGGCGTCATCTGCATACATGTAGGATGAGAACATGCATCAGCTATGGGAAAAGGACATGTACAGAAAATTGTAATCTGATCATGTACAGAAATCTTTTCTGTAGTGCACGTAAAACGTTTTGACACACGCGCAGCAGCAGGCGGCACGTGCACGACTCTACCCCAGTAGGGCTTATAATGGTAGATGTCAAACGAAAGCGAGCACTGGTGGGAGGTTCGGGTAGCGGGAGCGACCGCGAGATGGCCGCCGACGTTTTTAGCTCTATCTAGCTCGTATCCAATAGACCTGGTATGGCATGATCACATATGCCTCTGCTGAAAATACAAATTATGAATAATTAGAGCACATCGAAATTACATCTGCTTCGCTAACAGCAGCAGGTCGGGTTGGTCCGCGGCACATACAATAACTATATAATTATAATCTTTTGGTATATTAGTCTCTACTGCAGTGCACGGCCAGCTGGCCCGATGGCTCTACTCTTCGGGAGTCTGGAGCCCACTGTAACAACCACACAATAACTAACCTTTCCCTCTCTTGTGGCGATACATTTAATATTTTATCACATTGAAGTGATAACATAAAATTATTGTTAAAAATTACACAGTGTATGCGTGCACTGAAAAAGATAGACCGAAAGTCGTTCGTTAAGATAAAACTTGTTCAAGCGCCAATCCAAGCAAGGACTATGTATACATCTTGCACGTTGTGCTAAATATCCGTAGGTAAGTACTTAAATATGCATATTATTATCTATCGTTTCACTATCGAGCACACGCACATACATACCTTCGCCAGACCAACACCCAGCGTCGCCATAATGTTGTATCCGTACGTCGCCAACCCCACCACGATGCCCGCTCCACCCATGGCAAGAACCCAAATGGGGCACTCGGCGCTGGAGGCGATTGCCCAATTGCGGTACACATACCTGGAAAATCAACAGGGTGCAGTGACCCAACTTTTATTTTCATTCCACTCGTACGTGGCATTAGCAGGTAGACGGTTAGCGCTGGGTAAAGTTGAATACATTGTTCTGATCCTGGAACTCACCAGATTCCAGAGAACGGTCCCACGGCGTTGGCCACATCGTTTGCACCGTGGGCGAAGGACACCGCGCAGGCCGAGAAGACCTGCAGATACTTGTACACCTGCTCAGTCTCGGGGTTGAAGATCTCCGCAGCGGCGTGCATGTCGTGCACCGCCTGGTCGGTCTCCACTTTCTACAGGTACGACACATGGTACAATAGCGGTACGTAATGGATCCGCCAGCAGCGGAACTGAAGGCATGCTTTGAATCAATGTACGGCAACATGTGGCGAAGGCCCCTGTGTGGAGACCCCCTGCCGCTGGTGGCGTTTTTCTTTTCGTTCTAGGGGTGTGAGAGCGTGCAAATAGACTGGCCACTCGAATTGGTGGGAGACAGATTGGTTACGGATCCCGGGAGTGTGGCGCCCCTCGCGCGGCTCTCGCTTAGAATGGTCTGCAGTCTTTTGCACCGCTGGGTTGCCTAGCCAGGTGCTGGGAGAGCGCCCCTGCTGGCGTAGCGTACGTGAGGGAGTGTGGCGCGCACGGAGGAGCGGACGGGCGTAGAGCCGCTCGCGCCCGCCCCTGCGCTGTGCTTCGGCCAGGTGCTAGTCATTTCCCAGGGATCATTTTGCCACCTTGTTAAATGCAGGGGTTGGGGAGACTGGTGTTGAAGGTGCACATCGACTCCTTAACTATATCTCCTTTTTTGGGGCCCCTTTGGGAGAGGGTGCTTGGCAAGCTTGTCGGACTGTCATGGACAGGAGAGCACGGGCAGCTAGCATCCTGGACGAGCCTTTCACCTTGGAGGAGGTAGCACGTGCTGTCGGTAGGTTACCAAACGGAAAGGCTCACGGGCTTGAGGCCATACCATCGGAATGCTACCGTTATGCACGCCTCCCACGGGTGGATGAGCAGGGCAGGCAGGGAACGGAGGTGAACTGTATCGTCCCAGTGCTGCACGTTTTGTTAGAGCACATCAGGGCAACTGGTGATTTTCCACAGCAGTTTACCAAAACGGTGGTATCCCCTATTTTGAAGAAGGGTGACCCGTTGGTGGCAGGAAATTATCGGGGCATTGCAGTTGGAGGAGCACTTGCGAAATGCTATGCGTCAGTGATCCTTAACCGCCTGGTACGTGCTGGGGAAATACTGGACCTGCGGCACCCATG